TTTTAGAGATGTTCAGGATCAGTTTATTACTGGCCACCCATTCCAAAACAGACTGCAACTCTTTGTTAAGGGTTTCAGTGACTTTATTAGCTGTGGTTGCTGATGTGTACATGGTTGAATCATCAGCATACATGGACACACATACATGGACACACATGCATTGTTTAATGCCAGTGGCAGGTCATTGGTAAAAATATAAAATATTAGAGGGCCTAGAGAGCTGCCCTGCGGTACTCCAACCTTTACATGTTTGACATTAGAGAAGCTTCCATTAAAGAAAACCCTCTGAGTTCTATTTGCTAGATAGCTCCTAATCCACGATATGGCAGAGGTTGAAAAGCCATAAAACATAAGTTTTCTCAACAATAGGTTATGGTCAATAATTTCAAAGGCTGCACTGAAATCTAACAGTACAGTTCCCACAATCTTCTTATTATGAATTTCTTTCAACCAATCATCAATCATTTGTGTCAGTGGAGTACATGTTGAGTGGCCTTCTCTATAAGCATGCTGAAAGTCTGTTGGTAATTTGTTTACAGAGAAATAGCATTGTATTTGGTCAAACACAATTTTTTCCAACAGTTTGCTAAGCGCTGGCAGCAAGCTAATAGGTCTGCTGTTAGAACCAGTAAAGGCCGCTTTACCACTCTTGGGAATGACTTTGGCTTCCCTCCAGGCCTGATGACAAAGTCTTTCCTCTAGGCTCTGATTAAAGATGTGACAGATAGGAGTAGATATAGAGTCAGCTACCATCCTCAGTAGCTTTCCATCTAAGTTGACAATGCCATGAGGTTTGTCAATATTGATCAATAACAAAAAAAATTCCACCTCTCCCACACTAACTTTACAAAATTCAAACTTACAATGCTTTTCTTTCATTATTTGTTTATTTATTTATGAGTATGATGGCTCACTGTTCGTTTTTGGCATTTCCTGCCTAAGTTTGCCAACTTTGACAATGAAGTAATCATACAAGTATTTGTCAAAATCAAATGGTTTTGTGATGAATAAGCCATCTGATTCGATGAAAGATGGAGTTGAATTTGTCTTTCTGCCCATATTCATTTAAAGTACTCCAAAGTTTTTTTCCATAATTCTTTATATCTTTGATCTTGGTTTCATAATACAGTTTTTTCTTATTTTTCTTGAGTTTAGTCACATAATTTCTCAATTTGCAGTAAGTCAGCCAGTCAGATATGCAGCCAGACTTATTAGCCACTGTTTTTGCCGCATTTCTTTAAACAATACCGTTTTTTAATTCCTCACCAATTCATGGAGCCTTAACAGTTCTAACAGTCAGTTTCTTCACAGGTGCATGTTTATCAATAATTGGAAGAAGCAATTTCATAAATTCATCAAGTGCAGCGTCTGGATGTGCCTTATTAATCACATCAGACCAACAAATATGTTTTAACATCATCCACATAAGTCACAGCAAAATATTTTTTATGATCTCCTAGAAACTATTTTAGGCCCAGCTTTTGGAACATTGGCTTTACTGGATATAGCCACTACATTGTGATCACTGCATCCAATGGGTATGCATACAGATTTAGAACAAAGTTCTACAGTATTAGTACAAATGTGATCAATACATGTGGATGATCTTGTTCCTGTAGTGTTTGTAAACACCCTGGTAGGTTGATTAATAACCTGAACCAGATTGCAGGCATTGGTTACAGTGAGAAGCTTCCTCTTGAGCGGACAGCTTGATGAAAACCAGTCAATATTCAGCTCCCCAAGAAAGTAGACCTCTCTATTTACACTATCAAGCATTTCACACATATTATTTAGATACTGACTGTTAGCACTTTCCTGGGTAGCTTATCAGAGATAGACATAATATGGAAAAGGCAAACAAAGCAAGAGAAAAAATATACATTCAACAGTCCATTAATCAGTCGGTGTGTGTAAGTGTGTGTGTGTGTGCTGCGGGGTTGAAGCTATGAACCCATATGCTTGGCTCTCTCATCTCTTCCAGGCTTTTGGGAGGGAGGGTGGACAATGAGCCTGTCATAGTGGATGTAAGCAATGTCCCCACACACTCTGGCAGCTTTCATGGCTGGGATAAGTGATCTTCTCTTCTGGCACAAAGCTTCAGGATAGTCCTCTCAAGTTCTTGACTCTTTCCAGAACAGCTATCTTGTCCTTGAACCTCGGGAAATTGACCACTATCAGCCTGAGCCTGTCACCTTGGCCAGTGGTGGATTTCTCGTCCTGTGGGTACGCTCCACCTCAATCTTCCTGTGGTCCATCTTCAGTTTCTTTGAGATAATTTCCTTCACTTTGTCCTCAGACTTTGTCCCGGGCTCATGTGGAGATTCTTCTTGTAGAACTCTCTTTGCTCGTTAAAAGAATCCTTCACCTGTGATAGAGAGACACCACTGTCCTCAATGATACTCCTGCCGGCTTTGGTCTTTGTCATGGTAGCAACGTAGGTTACGCTGCTACTCCTCGTAGTTCCAGACAGGGCAGGTTGCAGGGAAGAAAGAGAGGTGGGGAGAGAGAAAATAGGGGGAAAAAGCAAGAAGAATAGCACGATACAGAAAGAGAAAATTAAGTAGTGTATCTTGTTGTGAGCAGCACATATTCGCTTAGTAGTCTGTTCTTTACACTGATTCTGGCACACACACATACATACATACACATACACACACACACACAGCAGCGATGGCAGACTCTGGCGCGATGGCTGTCCAATCTCCACCTCCATAAAATAATCAGCTACACAGTCACAGAGTCAGGTCGCCCTGACCTAAACAGCCTGCTCGGCTCAGCTCACCCCCACCACACACACTGACACACACAATGGTGGCTCAGCTCAGCAATGTGGGTAAACACAGCATGGTCAGCACTCACAGTCACTATTACAGTATACTACAATTCACTACAGACTACACTATACACACACTAACATTGACCATACATACTAATCCTATACAATATACACTCACTATTACAGAGTAGCACACAAACCTTCACTACCTCACATACTCCAGATGAAGGCACAAGGCAAAATGTAGGCCGTAGGGTACTATCTCTGATGGCCAATACTTTTTATGTTTACATTTAAGTCATTTAGCAGACACTCTTATCCAGAGCGACTTACAGTTAGTGCATTCATCTTAAGATAGCTAGGTGGGACAACCACATATCACAGTCATAATAAGTACTTTTTTCCTCAATAAAGTAGTTATCAGAAAAGTCAGTGCTAGTAGGAAGAGACAAAGGCAGATTTTTTCCCCACACATTTCATGATGTCTTACTTAAGATACTCTTTGAAGAGGTAGGGTTTCAGATGTTTTCGAAAGATGGGCAGGGACTCCGCTGTCCTGATGTTAGGGGGAAGCTTGTTCCACCATTGGGGTGCCAGAATAGAGAATAATTTTGTCTGGGCTGAGCAGGAGCTGACCCCCGTAGGGGTGGGATGGCCAAGAGACCAGAGGTGGCAGAATGTAGTGCTCGGGTTGGGTGTAGGGCAGCCAACCCCAATAAGCAGCCCGTGGGCCAGATCCGGCCTGCAAGAGCCTAATGTCTGGCTCACACTGTTATAATAAACATACATTTAATATCTGCGGCTCTGCTTTATTTTGAAATTATCCCACACCTTGACCTGTGGCCTTTACCGCGTGCATACGTAAGACGTGCTTCGCGCGTGTTGCGTACTCTTCTCCACTCGACTAGCTACCTAGTGTAGTGTCACACACACACAGTAGCCGCAGCCGCTCGCCAGTTAACCCTCTTTCATCAAAAGGACTGACCACTTCCTCACAAAAAATTATTAAATCCAGTCAAACCAACATGGCATTCGCCAAGATACGCAAGGTAGACCAGGAGAACCGTCAGTTCAAATCTTACTGGACTGAGAGGTATTGCTTTTTTTTACCGGACCACAACAGTGCTAAGCCCACATGCTTAATATGCATGCAGACTGTAGCTGTAATCAAAGCGGACAATCTGAAGCGGCATTTTAACTCTATTCATGCTGCCAGTTTTAATGCAAACTACCCAGAAAAATCTGACCAGCGCAAACAAAAAATTGCAAGCATGTTAACGTCATACAAGCACTCGGTTTTAACTATGTGTAAAACAACATCGGCACAAGAGAGCGCAACAGCTGCCTCATTACACGTTTCTTGGAAGCTTGCAAGAGCTAAGAAGCCATTCGCCGATGCAGAGTTAATTAAACAATGTGCAATCGACATGGCCGCCGAACTTTTAAACCAAGAGGAACCAATAAAAAAAAAAGTTGTTGAGCTGTTGAAGCAAGTGCCGCTGTTGGCTAACACGGCAACCAGAAGAGTCAAAGTTTTAGCGGAGGAGTGTTTTTCCAGTCTACTCACAGATTTGAGGAAAACCAAAGCATTCTCACTGGCAATAGACTCGTCTTGTGACCGAACCGACATGGAACAGCTGTCTGTGTTCGCAATATTTTTTGATGGGAAGACATTCCGGGAGGAGCTGCTGTGCTTGATTTCTCTACCCGGGCGTACAACCGGGGAAATAATATTCAACGAGCTGACACAGTTCTTCAAAAGGAATGGCTTAGATGTGAGTAAAATTGTCTCTGTTGTTACCGACGGGGCTCCGTCAATGGTGGGACACCGCCAGGGCTTGGTAAGCAGGCTTTCTGCCGTTAACCCAGCACTCCTGGCATTTCACTGCATTATTCACAAGTCAGTTTTGTGCGCAAAACTGTGTGGAAAAAAGAAAGAGACCATGGATACTGTGACTCGACTAGTTAACTTTGTCCGTGAGAGCTCTAGTCTGCAGCATCGCCGATGCTGCAGACTTTTTAGAGCATTACTCGAGGAAATGTCAGCTGAACACAAGGATCTTTTGCTCCACAGTGATGTTCGCTGGCTGAGCAAAGGCTGTGTGTTGGAGAGGGTGTGTGACCTGCGTGATGAACTTGTGTCATTTTTATCCAGCCTGCAGAGCCAAAAAGCTTTTTAACTGACAACAAGGTGATATCAGATGTTACTTTTTTGTGTGACATCATGTCTCATCTAAATCACCTTAACCTGCGTCTACAAGGCAAGAACCACACTGTTGCTGACATGTATGAGGCGATTGAAGCTTTCCGGTCAAAGCTGCACCTCCTGGAGAGAGACATTCATGGGAGAAAGTTGCACTTTCCACGTCTGCGTGAGCATTGTGAGAAGAATAAAATGCAGGAAGATCCAGCAATGAAGGATTTTGTGTCCAGGCTGGCAGAAAACTTCAAGGAAAGATTTGAAAGCTCCCCTAAACTCTCAGCTGACATCCTTCTCTTCGTAAGACAGCCGTTTTCTGTGTCAGCTGACGGCCAGTGGACTGCAGAGGCCAAAAAGCTGGTGCCTTCCATAGATGAGGCTGCTCTTCAGATGGAGAGGGGAACATCTGATTTGCTCAAAGCTCAACACAAGGATGCACTGGTGAGTGACTTTTGGATCAACGTGGTTCCTCAAGCTCGTTTTAAAAACACCAGAGATATTGCAATGCTCCAATGTGTTTGCTGGACTTTTTGTTTGCTGACTGTTTGCACTGAATATGCTCCAGGGGCATTTCATAATTAAATAGTTGGTTTTGGACAAATTTAGTATTTTTCATTTTTCTCTTATCTGACTCCTAACACCACTACTAATAATTATAAAATCACAATAGAAGTGAAAACTGATAAAACATAAAACTGTCATGTTGGCCCTTGGCTTGGCATGCCTGACCAAATGTGGCCCTTTTGGAAATCTAATTGGGGAACCCTGGTGTAGGGTTTGAGCATAGCCTGAAGGTTGAGGGGCAGTTCCCCTTGCTGCTCCATAGGCAAGCACCAGTGTCTTAAGCCGACGCGAGCTTTCATTGTAAGTAACATAATTTGGGTGAACTATCCTTGTAATCACCCTGTTAACACGAGGCAACAATATGACAGAGGAGTGTGTATAATAAACGTAGAAGTTCAGTGGCTGCGAAAGTATTCACCCCCTAGGCATTTTCCCTATTTTGTTGCCTTATAACCTTGAATTAAAATTGATTTTTGGGGGGTTTGTATCATTTGATTTACACAACATGCCTACCACTTTGAAGATGCAAAATATTTTTTCTTGTGAAACAAACAAGAAATAAGACAAAAAAACTAAACTTGAGTGTGCATAACTATTCACCCCCCCAAAGTCAATAATTTGTAGAGCCACCTTTTGCAGCAATTACAGCTGCAAGTCTCTTGGGGTATGTATGTATAAGCTTGGCACATCTAGTCACTGGGATTTTTGCCCATTCTTCAAGGCAAAACTGCTCAAGCTCCTTCAAGTTGGATGGGTTCTGCTGGTGTACAGCAATTCTTAAGTCATACCACAGATTCTCAATTGGATTGAGGTCTGGGCTTTGACTAGGCCATTCCAAGACATTTAAATGTTTCCCCTTAAACAACTCAAGTGTTGCTTTAGCAGTATGCTTAGGGTCATTGTCCTGCTGGAAGGTGAACCTCCATCCCAGTCTCAAATCTCTGGAGGACTGAAACAGGTTTCCCTCGAGAATTTCCCTGTATTTAGCGCTTTCCATCATTCCTTCAATTCTGAACAGTTTCCCAGTCCCTGCCGAAGAAAAACATCCCCACAGCATGATGCTGCCACCACCATGCTTCACTGTGGGGATGGTGTTCTCGGGGTGATGAGAGGTGTTGGGTTTGCGCCAGATATCGCGTTTTCCTTGATGGCCAAAAAGCTCAATTTTAGTCTCATCTGACCAGAGTACCTTCTTCCATATGTTTGGGGAGTCTCCCACATGCCTTTTGGCGAACACCAAACGTGTTTGCTTATTTTTTTCTTTAAGCAATGGCTTTTTTCTGGCCACTCTTCCGTAAAGCCCAGCTCTATGGAGTGTACGGCTTAAAGTGGTCCTATGGACAGATACTCCAATCTCCGCTGTGGAGCTTTGCAGCTCCTTCAGGGTTATCTTTGGTCTCTTTGTTGCATATTTGATTAATGCCATCCTTGCCTGGTCTGTGAGTTTTGGTTGGCGGCCCTCTCTTGGCAGGTTTGTTGTGGTGCCATATTATTTCAATTTTTTTAATAATGGATTTAATGGTGCTCTGTGGGATGTTCAATGTTTCTGATATTTTTTTATAACCCAACCCTGATCTGTACTTCTCCACAACTTTGTCCCTGACCTGTTTGGAGAGCTCTTTGGTCTTCATGGTGCCGCTTGCTTGGTGGTGCCCCTTGCTTAGTGGTGTTGCAGACTCTGGGGCCTTTCAGAACAGGTGTATATATACTGAGATCATGTGATAGATCATGTGACACTTAGATTGCACAGGTGGACTTTATTTAACTAATTATGTGACTTCTGAAGGTAATTTGTTGCACCAGATCTTATTTAGGGGCTTCATAGGAAAGGGGGTGAATACATATGCACATACCACTTTTCCGTTATTTATTTGGTATACTTTTTTGAAACAAGTTATTTTTTTCATTTCACTTCACCAATTTGGACTATTTTGTGTATGTCCATTACATGAAATCCAAATAAAAATCAATTTAAATTACAGGTTGCAACAAAATAGGAAAAATGCCAAGGGTGATGAATACTTTTGCAATGCACTGTATTCCCATTAAGATGCATTGAGGCCTTGGTATATAGAGGGGTGTGTGAATTGAAGACTTCGTGAGCAGCACAGTGGTGTGAGTGTGACTGAGCGTGAATCTGCTCTCTAAATAGTCAGGCTGTCTGACAGAGAAACACACATCACAACACTAGGTCAATCCCACTTAATCCCACTACTCTAAACCCCCTAATCAGTCCATATGCTGCCTACACACACACACACACACACACACACACACACATGCATACACGCACAAAAACACACACACTCATTATCTCAGCACAGTTCTTTAGCCCCTAATCCGAAAAGCGAGCCTTTTCATTAGCAGACCACCAACTACTAGAGGAATCCCACCCAAGCCACCAATGCTAACTGGGAATGCTACAGCTAACGCTAGCCTACCTTTCACTCTTACAGCAACGACAGTCAGGGCCCAATCCTTTCTCAACTATTGTTGTGCCTGGGACTTGCAAGCTATGATTGTTCCTCCTTGTATTGATATCAATGGAATGTTCCATGCAGGGGCGCAAGTTTGTTTTTAGAAGTTGGGGGAACATCATTATTATAATTTGAAAAAAATTATCCAGTCGGATAAACACTTCAAACAGCCTACCCGACCGCTCGGAGGCGTCCGCATGGTCAAATCTTTGCCTCATTTTTTAAAATCACATTCTAATGATAAAACCGGGGGGGACGAAAATGCAATTTCAGAATGTGGGGGGTACATGTCCCCCCCGTCCCCAGTGAAAGTTGCACCCCTGGTTCCATGCATAAATATCATGTTTGGGTCCCTTAGATAGCTCAGCTCTGTAATGTTACATTGGCTATGCCCTAAGAAAGCTGGGAGGTCTTCATCTGTGTTATCTTCACACCACTACAAACAGTGCAGTCAGAGCTATTGACTCCAGTCATGGAGCAAGGTGTGGGGAAAGCGCAAGATGAAAGTATACCAGGGTTCCACAACTGGCGGCCCAGGAGTGGCTATATTTGGCACCCCCCAAGTTTTCTGAGCAAAAAAGTATAAATATATAGATCTTTTTTTGAATTTTCATTGTTGGACATCAAAGACTGTAAAAACACCAGGAAAGTGACTTTAATTTTGGAAATCTGTTGCCAACTATTACCACACATAATAGAGAGACACATGATCGTATACAAATGTAAGCAAGGTTTGAAATGATTATGTTTTAGTGAAATATTATATCTGTTTGGACATCTTGCGGTCAATTTGCAGTCAGCTAATTATTTTTGAATTATGTTCCGGCCCCCCGACCATCCGCTCAAGAACAAAATCGGCCCGCGGCTGAATCTAGTTGATGATCCCTGGACTAAACACACAAACACACACGCATGCACACACACACACACACACAGTGACACACACACACACATATATGCCTAATGCTAGTTTCTGGGCCAGTTAATACACTGATCCAGTTTATGAGGAAAGGAAGAGACGGAAGACAAAACAGCGTAATGACCAGAGCAAGACAAGTCATCATCACAGAGGGGTTTTAAAAGGAGAGGAAGAGAGGAGAGGGAAGGAAGGAGTTAAAGTAGAGGTGCACTGATGGCACTTTGGGGTCTTAAGAAGCCCCCAACTCCCCCTCCCCTAACCACCTGACAGGGATGTGGCAGTTTCTTTCATCCTACCCCCCCCCCCCCCCATCCATCTCCTCCCTCTCTCCCCCCTCTTTATTGTCCCAGTGGAGAGCAGCAGCAGCACCCCCCCCCCCCTGTCCCCGTCTCACACACACACTTCAGTCTTGTATTTAGGAGCCTCTACACCCCCCCACGTCAAACAGTGCTTAAAAATATGCTTTTCCACTGATCTCAACCTCACATCAAACATCCCAGAGTAGAGGTGCAGTCTATCAGAAGTAGCGACTGAATACTGACTGACGGCATAACACCCTCCATATGGTAGATTTGAAAATCACAGTTAGTTAAAACATGGATAGCACTCTTAATGCTTTGCTACCATTACATTCATAAGAAAGTCAAAAGGATGTTCTGTTGTTCGTCCTCGGTGCCACATCAACCGAAAGGTATTAGTATTGAAACGTATTATTATGGTAACACATTTAAATATCACACCATTAGCATTTTAAACCCCAACTAAGAGGCTGCTAGCAAAAAAGACATGAAGAGGAAATATGTGTATTTTGCCTGTTTCTTGACCGTAGCCTATGACCACAGTGTTTTGGCTAGATGACTAGTAGTGTGCCCACAGAGTTTTCAAACACTGAGGCGCAGCATCGTGATACTTCCATGAATGCGTCGCGAAGCAGACTTGACATACCAGACCGGGATTTGGGGTTTGGCAAGTCAATGGGAGAAGTGAAAAATGTGTCCTTAGTTGTTCATTTTCTCAAATTCTAAAGGCAAACCTAGATTCAAGCCAATGTGTTAAGTAGCTGAACCTGTCATTACTACATCCTCGTAAAAGTGACAAACTGACACGTTTTCCTTTTTGTCGAAAACAACTTTATATCGAAGGAGTGCCTTTCAATTGACGACCTGCACATGCGCAGTTTGTCACGAAACGACCATTAGACCCGATGGCGTGTTTCTGCTAGCTAATGTTGCCATGACATCGCCTACAAGAGTGATCGGGGATTTCAATTGGAGAAGCAGTTTCTGCATATCTTCATACTGTACTGCCTTTGCTATGACCGGCTGTGTTTTATACTAGAGCTGCTTTCTTGGTCAGGGCCCGTATCCAGATAGTGTCTTGGAATAGGAGTGGTGATCTAGGATCAGTTTTTCCTTTTAGATCATAATGAATACAATTATATGGACAGATCCTAGATCAGATCAGCCCTCCTACTCTGAGCTGCTTAGTGGATATGGACCCAAGTGTCCCTTGGAAAAGAGGTATCCAATGCCCTCAATGGGATATCCTGGTTTAAATAAAGGCTAAGAATGCAGCATATAGATGAGAGTAGACTGGGCCAGTGTGGGATCTCTGAACTGTGAGTGTTCTCACATTAACAACCACAGAGACCAGGCACTTTCATTGGCCCTCTAAAGAGCAGAGGGGAGGAGGAGAAGAGCATTAGAGGCTTTTAGCCCTGAGGTGTGTGTGTGTGTGTGTGTGTGTGGGGGGGGGGGGGGGGGGGGGGGGGGCTTCTTCTATCCTTGTGGGGACCTAAAATCCCCAAAAGTCACCACAAGGATAGAAGAACAAGGAAAATTCTCCCTCGTGGGACATTTCCCACATCCCCATGAGGACAAATGCTATTTTAAACTTAGGTTTAGAATTATGGTTAGGGTTAGAATTAGGGTTAGGGTAAGGGTAAGGGGTTAGGAGTTAGGTTTAGGGTTAGGTTTAAGGTTAGAGGTTTGGATTTTGAATGGAAATTAATTTTAGGTCCCCACAAGAATAGAAGAACATGTGTGTTTGTGTTTCTTTAGACACCCAGTAAACCAGAGCTAGCAGACTGGTGGTGTGGGAGGGAGAAGGTCAGAAGAGCAAACACAAACATTATCCATCTACAGGGGGAGAGCAGGGCCTAAATTACACACACACACATTCACACACACACACACAAAGACCTCCCACAAGGCTCATCTCATGACAAGGGGTCAAAGGGTGAGTCCAGATAACAATGTTTGGGCAGGGCTTTGATGGGACCCCAAAACCCCTCCACACACACATGCGTATGCATGCACGTACGCACACACCAGTCCCTCTGCTGTCCTGTCGGCTCAGTGGACACAAAAGGCCTCTTCCAGGGGTCAGGGGTAAAAGGTCAAGGGTCAGGAAGATAGCCAGGGGTTGTTCTCTCAGGACTGGCCCACATACCACCAACCCATTCTCCTCAGGCCTCTAACCTCTAACCCCTGCACGCTCGCTCACACTCACACACTCACACACACACACAGTCCTAACCTCTCACCACTGCACTCTCACTAAAGGACCACATTACAGGCACAGCCAGATGCATTCAGAGCTGCTCCCTCTCAAAAAAGCCTGAACTAGAAGATGTTTGTTCTTTGAGAGTGTGTGTGTTTCTTTGTGTGTGTGTATTGGTACGTGTGTGTGTATGTGTGTGTGTGTTTCTTTGTGTATGTGTGTGTGTGTTTCTTTGTGTGTGTGCATGTGTTTCTTTGTGTGTTTGTGTGTGTGTGCACGCGCGTGTGTTTTCTTTGGTTGAGAGAGAGGTGTCAGCAGTGTGAATGGTGAATGTGGCAGCAGACAGTTCTTTGAAATGGAGCTGAATGATCTGAAGCCAACCCCTCAGTGAGATGGGATTGGGAGTCCAGTTTAGCAGATGCTACAACTTTACTGATCAATGACTGTAAATAAACACTGTCTTTCACCGTCTCCCCAATAGCTACTTGGATCAATGTGCCCAACCAGGGACACAAGCTGCCCAGGGGGGATATGGATATGTAATAGGGAATATAAGACAAGGAATATGGGATAGAGAGCTGGAACACTAGATTCTGTTCCCGGGAAAAACTCTGAGGCAACTCTCTCTGAGCTACCTGTTGCGTTTTTATATCTTGAAAAAAGATCAAACAGTAATGATACTTACTATGTAATTACCATGTAATGGAATCTTTGCTACAGCTCATTAGTCCTAGACCGGTACATTGCTTCCTTGCTCTCTCTGTCTGTCTGTCTGTCTGTCTGTCTGTCTGTCTGTCTGTCTGTCTGTCTGTCTGTCTGTCTGTCTGTCTGTCTGTCTGTCTGTCTGTCTGTCTGTCTGTCTGTCTGTCTGTCTGTCTGTCTGTCTGTCTGTCTGTCTGTCTGTCTGTCTGTATGTCTGTCTGTCTGTCTGTCTCTATCTCTCTCTCTCTCTCTCTGTCTCTCCTTTCTTACTCTCTTTTCACTGCCTCTTCTCTCCCCGTCCTCTACCTTCCCTTTCCTACCATCTTGCCCCCTCCCTCCTCTTTCCTACTCTCTCTCGCTCCCTTCCCCCGATCAGTGTTTGTAATCTCACTCTAGTGTAAATAGGACTAGTTGCGCCTCAGTATCACACATATAGTAGGCCTGCAAAATACATAATAACTCCTGGACTATTACAATTCTACCACTATCTCACAATAGCTCTGTCTCAACTACACTCTTAAAATTAGTGGTGACTCAAGGAACCCTGGAGTTCCTCAAGGTTCATATTTGCACCTTCAGTTAGTTGAGGGGTTCATGGAGGAACCTTTAATGGTTCAATGTAGCAACAGGTTCCTGGAGGAACCCTGGAGTGGAGGCGTGGCTTTGTAGGGGTGTAGTTTTAAGATTGATTTTGTTTTCGCCACCCGTTAGAGTAAATGTCATTCCTGTTCATATGTTCTGTTGTATTGTCATTACATGTTAAGGTTGAACACGGACAGTTTTGTAGCTTCAGTGAGGCTAACAGAGGTGTATGAGTTCCTCAAGAGCCTATGTAAATCCCAAAGTTGGAATAGTTACCGCTTTAGGTCACACTTTATTTGGATAGTCTGGATTGTCCATCTGTAGATGCTCTACCGATGGTCATACTATCAACAAACTATCTGTTGATAAGCAACTGTTTGCTAAGGTTAGGGTTAGGTTTAGAATAAGGGTTAGGGTTAGGGTAAAGGTAAGGGTTAAGTTTAGGGTTAGGATAAGGGTTAGAGCTAGGGTTAGTAGATAATTGAAATGTTACTGATAGTCTGTAGAGCATCTACAGATGGACTATCCAAATAAAGTGTTCCCACTTCATTACTATATGTCATCAGAAATGTTAATATTATTAATATTATATTAGACTATGTACAATGCTATAAATATTCAAGGACATTTTTTATTTGCAGTGTACAAACTTAACATGAACCGGAATGACATTTACACTAACGGTGTCCAAAAATGACTATCTGAAAGCCATGCCTCCAATAAGATACGGCTCCAATCTGATAGGCTATGCAATATCTTATTAAAAAGGTTAAAAATGTAACTCCTCCCATCACAAAAAGGTTCCGGTTTGAACCTTTACACAGGGGTTCCCCGAAGACCCTTTTCAGAGGGGTTCCTCAAGGAACAATTTTTAACTAGAAATGTTCCGCTGGTGTGGCAACCTGAAAGGTTCTTCCAGGCACCTTTACTTCTAAGAGTGTAGGCTGTCTGCGACACAGCCCAGAGTAAAGTGAGGTTTAAAAAATCCTTGTGATCCACCAAATAGACAAAACCATCTAACACAACCCTGTCTTTACCAGGATACGAGAGGGTAGCCATAACCCACCAGAACAGTATGTCCACTCCAGGATCTCCATTTTGGAATGACCGATAAATACCAACAACAAACACAAGAACAAACACTGATGATGCGCTGATCTATCTTCTAGCACAGAAATATGACTTGTTAAGCCTCTCAAGAATGATTCAAGCATCCTACTTTCTTTGGCACCTAATATTCTCCTGTAACTGGATGGTTCCCTTCCTAGCATGATGAAAACAGACCTCATCTCCCTGTTACTGTAGTGATTCTATTTTTGGAAGCAACAGCTCTGTCCATAGCAGTATGATAGAGATACAAGACTCTGGCCTTGAGAATAGTCTAGGAGATAAACAAGAAGCTTGTGTTGTCTACACCCCCCCCCATCAGAGATGCATTTCACTCATTTCTGCTTACTACTTAACTTAGAATACTTACTAAATCTTAGTTACTATTCAAATAAGGGATCTACATGTAAGGCACAGATATTCAACTGCTGATAATTGTGGTGACTGACAATTGTAGCCTACAATTCTAAAAACAGCTCTGAGTTTTAAACATGACAAAAACAAAATCTGTGCTTCAAAGAAGATATGTCGCCTATAGGAGTGTCAATATAGGCTATACTTCTGTAAATCTCTCAAATTATAATATCTATTGAAAATGTTGTGTATGCTAGTAGTGCGTCTTGTTATAATTCCTACATATAATTGAAATGGACTGGTAAATGCAATAGCAGTCCCGTCAGATCTCACCAATTGTTTACTTGGCGGATCTTCAGAGCGAAAGTCGTGTTATATTGTCCCAATACTTGTTGTTACAACAATGTAACAACAGCACCACAATACGCTATTTCTGCAGATCAGACAACGACCACGCAACAAGCTGTGTCCGAAAGGTCCCACTCCGTCCAGAATATTGGCAGCAAAAAAAACGGGTGGCATTTCTAACGCGAATCGACGTGTTCAACAGACACACTAATAAAATATCAAGTCAACTTACCTGTGAATCAAACTGATAATGCGGGTAAAAATACAATAGCAACTTGTTGCGATAGCATTAAATTATTAGGTCCATATATCCGCGAGTAGCCGTGCGCTCGGCGTTCATCTGTTCAGCACGGCGGTCATCTGGTCAGTAAACCAAGGCAAGAGAAATCTGTCCAGCGAGATAGGCTACGAGGGAAACTGAGTGACACGCGTGTCATCCCCTGATCCCCTGAAGGAAATGTTCCTCCCCCTTTCACACTGACAGTGGTATCTTCCAAGACAGGAGACCTTGGTAATATGGACTAAACCACTTTGAATCGAGTAAGATTTTTTGAAGGCAAGATTTCAGTCTAATACTTGCACAAAACAATTCACGGAAATAGTCTACTACGAACTCGACGCATGCACCATATCCTAATTTACATTATAAACTGGGTGGTTCGAGCCCTGAATGCTGATTGGCTGACAGCCATGGTATATCAGACTGTATACCACAGGGTATGACAAAACATTTATTTGTACTGCTCTAATTACATTGGTAACCAGTTTATAATAGCAATAAGACACCTCAGGGTTTGTGGTATATTGCCAATATACCACGGCTAAGGGCTGTGTCCAGGAACTCAGCGCTGCATCGTGCATATGAACAGTCCTTATCAAATCAAATCAAATCAAATGTTATTGGTCACATGCGCCGAATACAACAGGTGCAGACATTACAGTGAAATGCTTACTTACAGCTCTTAACCAACAGTGCATTTATTTTAAACAAAAAAAAAATATATATAAAAAATAAAACAACAAATAAAAATAAAACAACAACAAAAAAAAGTGTTGAGAAAAAAAAGAGCAGAAGTAAAATAAAGTGACAGTAGGGAGGCTATTTATACATTTACATTTACATTTAAGTCATTTAGCAGACGCTCTTATCCAGAGCGACTTACAGTTAGTGAATACAATAATGTATTTATTTTATTTTATTTTATTATTTTTTAAATACTGGCCCCCCGTGGGAATCGAACCCACAACCCTGGCGTTGCAAACGCCATGCTCTATCAACTGAGCTACATCCCTGCCGGCCATTCCCTCCCCTACCCTGGACGACGCTGGGCCAATTGTGCGCCGCCCATGAGTCTCCCGGTCGCGGCCGGCTGCGACAGAGCCTGGATTCGAACCAGGATCTCTAGTGGCACAGTTTGCACTGCGATGCAGTGCCTTTATACAGGGGGGTACCGTTGCAGAGTCAATGTGCGGGGGCACCGGCTAGTTGAGGTAGTTGAGGTAATATGTACATGTGGGTAGAGTTAAAGTGACTATGCATAAATACTTAACAGAGTAGCAGCAGCGTAAAAAAGGATGGGGGTGGGGGGGCAGTGCAAATAGTCCGGGTAGCCATGATTAGCTGTTCAGGAGTCTTATGGCTTGGGGGTAGAAGCTGTGGTATAGCTGTGGTATATTGGCCATATACCACACCCCCTCGGGCATTATTGCTTAAATATATATTCTACATATATACCTATGTTATATGTTATGTGCTTGTTGACCAACCTATATTTTATTTGTAGATATTCAATAAGAAGCTAATTATAGGCTACATTCTGGTAAATTATGAGGTAGGCTAACCTATGCAATAGCCTAGCCCATGTTACCGCCATAGTCAGAGGTGAAGGGTAGATGCCAAAAATAACATAACCATAAAAATGCTTAGGCTACCTTGATGAAAAAAAAATAGTATTCGAAGTCGTCCTCTCACTCCCCAGTTGGAAGTGATAGTTGGTATTTTCTCTATGTGATGCGCTGCCGCCATCTCCTGGATGTCCGTCAGAACTACAGCACCGCCTTATACAGGTAGGCCCACATAGGCTTTAATAGCACATGACATGTGCGTTCTGCAATCGAATATCACTGTTTCTATTCAAAAAGGCCAATTAAATAAAACAGCAAGATGAAATGTTTTGAATCTCGATCAAACTGTGTTTGCGCTGTTTTTTCAACATTTTCATTTTAAACAGTCGATGGTCCAATGCAGCCATTTCTATCTCAATAGATAGAAATGGGGGGCCAGTATGAAAAATACAAAAATAATGTATGCACTCACTAACTGTAAGTCGCTCTGGATAAGAGCTTCTGCTAAATGACTAAAATGTCAAATGTAAATGTAATATCAAATCATTTCTGGGCAACAATTAAGTACCTTACTGTGATTGTAATAAATTAAAATGGTCAAAAATAAACAAAAATAGCTTCTTAGCTAAATGCAATTTCTCTAGCAAGAATGTTGCTAAGACTCTCACGGAGTGGTATGAGAGAGGGGCCTAATTGGAGGAGCCTAATGGGAGGAGGGAAAACTCTCTTTGTTATTGGTCTATTAACATATTAAAAACAAAAAACTACTTTTTAAGCGAGAAGTAGACATTGGAAAATTAATGAGCACCACAAGGCCTACTCCACCCATGCTCTACCAAGGTTTTCTAGCACACGGCTTTGACCTACTAGAGTAGCTATGTTGGTCTATTGTACTTCAAACAATGTGTATGCCGGTTGCTTAGGATTCAAACCTTCTCAAACAGCCTAACCAGCTTTCATGGATATTTTTAATAAATCCAATTTGTCATATGAATAAAGACTAGCTAATGTGTCAAAATTCAGCATTTTGACATTTCCCTCTGTGCACCCTCTGTGACTTCTCTGAAGATTTTAACCAACCTAACCCCAAAATGTCTCCATGTTTTCACCATCATTGTAAAGACCTAGTTATGCTGTTGCTTTGACAAAGTACTATCTGAAGATTATTATTTATTTCATGTGATTGGTGATTAATTTTAAGGAAAAAACAACAACCTGTCCCTCATTTTAAGGTCAACCCTTTTACGTGAACTAAACTCTCATTTTCATATGGTGAAACTGTTCCTTTTTTCCCCAAAAATAAACATTTAACAACTAATAGTCAAATCTAAATGTAAAAGCAGGTGAGCTGGTTCTACTCTTTTTGGCAATGTTCTGGTGTTTTGTGGTGGAAAACTGAGTGGGTCGAGCATAACACGTCAACCCTCTTACCCATAGATAGATAGGCTAGAAATGTTTGAACATAAAAAAAAAATGTGTGAAGATTGTGTAGGACATGGGGATGTGTTAAACGTACTCCTCAGCCTGAAGTGTCCCCACTTGTGCCAGCGAATAGCTAGCTTTTCACATGGCGCCGACTGCTAAGATGCTTCAGGAGGGCTGTCATATGTGATAGCAAGGCAGAGGTCCAGAGTTTGCGCTAGGTATTGGCCGAATCGGGAGGAAGTTGTACTTGCTAAGCAAGCAGTGTGACACCCTTCACACTTGCATTCAATTGCCACTCCCTGTTGCACACAACAAGCTTTCTATGGAAAGATTAGACTTTCAGGAACACGATGCTGCTCTCCGTTTTGCTTGGAACTCCTCTGAAGTCGGTACAGCATATCTGCCAACTTCTGTCTGTAGCGTCCGAACAGTTTGGGCCACACACTAATATGATGGGGAGCGTCGCTGCACAGCTATTTGCAGGTCTCTCCAGAGATGTTCGATCGTGTTCAAGTCCGGGCTCTGGCTGGGCCACTCAAGGACATTCAGAGACTTGTCCCGAAGCCACTCCTGTATTGTCTTGGCTGTGTGCTTAGGGTCGTTATCCTGTTGGAAGGTGAACCTTCGCCCCAGTCTGAGGTCCTGACCACTCTGGAGCAGATTTTTATCAAGGATCTCTCTGTACTTTGCTCCGTTCATCTTTCCCTCGATCGTGACTAGTCTCCCTGCTGCTGAAAAACATCCCCACAGCATGATGCTGCCACCACCATGCTTCACCGTAGGGATCGTGACAGGTTTCCTCCAGACGTGACGCTTGGCATTCAGGCCAAAGAGTTCAATCTTGGTTTCATCAGACCAGACAATCTTGTTTCTCATGGTCTGAGAGTCTTTAGGTGCCTTTTGGCAAACTCCAAGTGGGCTGTCATGTGCCTTTTATTGAGGAGTGGCTTCCGTCTGGCCACTCTACCATAAAAGCCTGATTGGTGGAGAGCTGCAGAGATGGTTGTCCTTCTGGAAGGTTCTCCCATCTCCACAGAGGAACTCTGGAGCTCTGTCAGAGTGACCATCGGGTTCTTGGTCACCTCCCTGACCAAGGCCCTTCTCCCCTGATTGCTCAGTTTGGCCTGGTGGCCATCTTATTTAATTCGGCTAACTTTCTATTAAAATGTATTGTAGTGAGATAATTTCTTTCTTTCGGGAATATGAATACAGAGTATGTCCACTTCACCATCGGACCATTTTATTGGTAAACTACATGGTAATGTATGTTGCAAGTTCGCTAGCAACAGCTCAAGTCAAGACAGATAGAAAGGGAGGCAGACAGGCGGAGTAGAGGGTTGAATGTGATCAAAAGAACCCACATTTTCATCAGGATATTTTCTGCTGTTTTTATTTGTCTGCTATTTTACTTAGTTGACATGGAAATTATAGGCCTACTGCTGCATTGGCCTGTAGGCCATCTCTGAGTTCTATATAAACCCTATTCAGATGGGATTCGTTTTACTGGGGGAGGTCGGGCACAAAACACAACGTCTTGTCAATTTAGTCCCGTTCGAATCGTTTAGAGAGAAATGTCGGAGTTTGAAAGATGCTGCTCGCGGTTTGAGCATGAAAACAATAACTGATTCAATAAATTGAAGGAAGTGCTGCCCATAGCCTATATATGAAGGGCCTACATGTATACACTTTTACAGTGAATGCTTTTGTTTATATGTTATGTGCGAAGGAATTGAACATCGCCAAATGCATCATGATAAAATATTTCGCCTATTTAATGCAACCTTTGCTGTTAATAGATCGCAAAGCAGCATACAGTACAACTGAGCTAAACGTTTTGAAATGACAAGTTCACTTTCTCATTCATAGCCTAAAAACGCATATCAAGTGCAAGTGCGCTGTTTAGCTCACATCTCAAGGCTGGGGGCATTTAGGATGTCTTTACTGCGAATCGCTAAAATATCCTAATGATTATGATCACACTTCCTCATTTCAAATATTATGAAGACACTATACCAAAGATGGTTTGGTATAGTTTAGAGAAAGTCGAGTTATCAGTGTAGCCTGTTGTCGCCCGGACAAAAATAAATAAAGAATTAGAGGGGGCAGTTTGGAAAAAACTAATCCCGTCAGAATCGTCTTCTGGAATAACGGACATTCTTGGGCAATAAATACATAACCAACGTTCTCTAGCAATACTAGTCCCATGCGAATAGGGTTCAAGCGCTCATTTCTTTAGCCGCCAATGGACCACAGTGTTTCAATGTGTCCATATGGCAGAGGCTCGTTCCCTCGCCTAAGTTTAATTTTAACTTTTAGATTTTTACGTTTTAAATAAAAAAATGTATTATTAACCACATGACAATAATTTTGAGAAACGAAAACGTTATTATTGAAATGAAACTGTTCCACGAAAATGGGCATATAAAAATAATAATAACTGTCACGCAGATCGGTAGAAATGGTAGGATAAATTGTAAGCTTCCCAAACTTGAAACTCACGAGCTGCATATGATCTTTACTATAACGCCCATAAAAATAGTGTGAACTTGCAAGCGCGTGCACACAGGAGGTCCCGTGAAAAAACGTGCCCGCCTATGGAAATCAAAGGCCAGTCTAACGGATTCGTTCTGGCGCCGGCCCTGGTTTACTTTAGATATTGGTTTTAGCGCACAAACCATTTGTTTGTTGCGCCGTGTATATTTAGGCTACTATTTCTTATCATGCCTGTTGTCATTAAATGGTACCAATACAAAGTGCACATGTTTTGATAATTAGTTTGCCCTTTCTACATTAAGACATTTTCTTCTTTGCTCTGGTAGGGGGTGTGTCAACCAGAGCAGCGTTCGGGGGAGCGCCAATTATCCTGTGTGTTTGAGTGATGCAATGTTGCTAAATTCCAAGGAGGAGAGAAATGCGTACCCGGTATATTGCTGCTTAATGCAGGGTTCTACACTAATAATTGCAGTGTGTATGCATTTAGGAATATATTGATATGTGCCTTTATATATTGTATGCCTTTATTTATGACCATTCATTTCTGATTGGTTAATAATGGTATCTTCCAAAGTGAGGGCTTGAGGGAAAGGTATTTAACCTCTGTCACTCTTGTTGTGGCCAGACCGAGTCTTTCTCTTCCGCCACAACCGTGACCTATCTAAGCAATAAGAAATGGATTTTAAAAAACGGAGCTTTCCTACCAAGATCAAGTTACTACTAATGGCCAGACAGGAGACAGGGCAAGGTTGGCATGCTGCCATTCACAGGCATGATTGAGGATTGGATATTTTGAACTCTACTATTATTTGATTTATTCTCAGTTATCACCAGTTTATGTTACTTGTCCATTCAACGTCCTGTTATTTTTGTTGTACATATTTTATACATAGTATACAGTTTTATTTTCACCTGTAAATAAACACCCTCATCTTGAGTTTTACACCACTACCATCTTGTCTCCTTCATTCTTGTAATTTAGCAGACACTCTTATCCAGAGCGATTTACAGGAACAATTAGGGTTAAGGGCCTTGCTCAAGGGCACATCGAAATATTTTTCACCTAGTTGGCTCAGGGATTTGAACCAACAACCTTTCGCTCCTAACCGCTAGGCTACCTGCCTAGACCCATTACCCAGTCCATAGACTCATAAAGGCCTCTGTGGATTATTAGAGATTAAAGGACCGAGTTTGGGAAACCCTGACTGAGACAGTTTTAGCAAAAATCTTGCATGATACATTTAGTTTTGCTAAACAGCTGTTTTTGATTATTTTTGACAATTTAAATGGAAAACTATTACAGTAAGGTACTTAAGTGTTACTCAGAAATGATTTGATATTAAGATGAAAATGGCTTTATGTGGAGGGAACAGTGGAGCGGGGTTTGAACCAGGATCCCTGCACTTAGGCCTATTGGTAAGAGCACATGTGCCATAAAGATCCAGAGCTCTTGAATGTCCAGGCCTCTTGATAGGGCCGTATTGCCCTTATGCAGGGAGGCAACAGTACACTCACCAGTGTGAAGTGGCCAGGGAAAGGAACCTCGATGGCTCTGTGATAATTCTATAAGTAGAAATATGAAGTAAAAAAAAAAAATCCATATATTTCCCTCTCATCTCCCTCATGATGGAATTATTAAAATGACACGCACACATCACACGCTGTCACCCGGCGGGGCAGCCACGCAGCGCAAACCTTCATTTCTCATTTTCTCTCCTTGGTCCCCCTTTCTCCCAGGCAATCTGTCTTCCTGACGGGCGCGGTCCCCCCGCTAAGTGCCCACGGGCGCGACAGACAGCCGCCGGTGACTGGAGCACTCTGGGGTTGTCACGCGCTGATGGCGAAGTTTCCCCCGCTACACCGGGAGCGAGTGGATTCATCTTCATCTGCCTCTCAGTGATGACTTGCCTTGTGCGGCTAACCGTCACTGTGTCGAACACAGAAGGTAAATTAAAATTAAAATAACACCTCTTTCACCCCTTGCCAGCGCTCACTTCAACTCCCCTATCCCCCCCTCTCTCTGTCACACACATACACACATCTACACACACCACCAAAGGAAACTCTGTGAACACTTTTCCTGGCAGACAAGCCTTAAATTAGGTGGTTGCTCGGTTCTGTGCTGCCACTCTGGCTGGTGTGGTGGGGGTGGCAGCTGGCGGGCAGCAGACCTGTAATCCTAGTGGTGAATTTTGGTGTGTAGAGGAGGAGGGGAGGGGGGGAGGGGATGTTGGGCTGGACTGGAACAGGTGTTGGTGAGTGTCCAGCAGAGCGGAGAGAGAGGGAAGAGGGGAGCAGGGGTGAGGAGAGGGGAGAGAGGAGAGGGGTGATGAGATAGGTGAGGGGAGTTAGGAGCTGATGGGCGATGATCGGGTGGGGCTATACCCGTTTTCCCCCGGCCTGAGGGAGAATGATCAAGCCATTTATAAGAGCTGTCAGACAGTGGGAAAGAGACACACAAACATCAGGACTCAGAGGTATCAAAGAGGAAGGCCACACCAAGACAACTCAACTCAACACAAGACAACACAAGACAACACAACACAAGACAACTCAACACAAGACAACACAAGGCAAGACAGCTAAACACAAGACAACTCACCTCAACACAACTCAAGACATCTCAACACAAGACAACACAAGACAACTCAACACAAGACAACACAAGACAACTCACCTCAACACAACTCAAGACAACACAAGACAACTCAACACAAGACAATACAAGACAACTCACCTCAACACAACTCAAGACAACACAAGACAACTCAACACAAAACAACACAAGACAACTCAACACAAGACAACACAAGACAACTCACCTCAACACAACTCAAGACAACACAAGACAACACAACACAAGACAACTCAACTCAAGACAACACAACACAACACAAGACAGCACAACACAAGACAACACAAGACAACTCAACACAAGACAACACAAGACAACTCAACACAAGACAACACAAGACAACTCACCTCAACACAACACAAGACAACACAAGACAACACAACACAAGACAACTCAACTCAAGACAACACAACACAACACAAGACAGCACAACACAAGACAACTCAACACAAGACAACTCAAGAAAAGACAGCTAAACACAAGACAACTCACCTCAACACAACTCAAGACAACTCAACACAACACAACACAAGACAACACAAGACAACACAAGACAACTTAACATAAGACAACACAAGACAACACAAGACAACTCAACATAAGACAACACAAGACAACACAAGACAACACAGCATTTCCCTATGCAGAACTATCATTGGAAAGACCTATTGGTTTTATGCTGAGAACTGTCCCTCACCACTTTTAGTGTACCTTGCCTTGGAGGCATCCTGCTACTTTCGTTCAGTCCTAACTTTGTATTTTGTTACACCAGATTATATAGAGCTACAACGGGAAAGGGATTTAAAGGGATGAGTAAATATATCACCATAGAAAAAAATAAAGGCAGTTTCAATTTATGGAGAATGTGAAAAATTGACTGGCATTGCAATAGCATTTGCTAGGTTGTCAACGCTATCAACGTCCCAGGTTGTCAACGCTATCAACGTCCCACGGTACCATGCATCTCAATGTACAACACCTCCAACATTAAAGTCACATATAAAACAGGCGGAATGTGACATAGACAGACCCACATGTCCCTTCAAATGTGTGCACAAGAAGAAAATGTTTTTCTAATTTAGACATAATGATGGTCAAAGTCATTTGGATGAGAATGATAGTGGTTTTGCAAGCTGTAGAGCATATCATGACCATTAGGCTTTTACACACTGCCCTGGCCTGGCATAACTGGAGATATGCTCTGCAAACTACTCATCCCCTCCAACGACATTAAATCCCTTTAAAAAGAGCCTCATTTGAGGAGCAATAAAAATTTTAATCATTTTATTACCAAAAGAGTATTTAACAAGTTGCTAATGAAATGCCAAAGGCAGGTTAGCTACGTTTAACCTTCAGAAAGAAAACCATGGATAACCGTCTTTGCCTCAAGGCATTGTGGGACAGAAATGTCATCCTCCATTATCCTCCACACCTGAAGTGGCGCTTCACTCTGTCTCACACACACACGTACGCACACATGCACACACACACTCCACAAGAGGGGGGCGAAAAAAATTAGTGATTCAATTAATAGCCATTCTTTATGCGTGGGGGAGAGGGCGCAGCTGCACATATCTTTACGCATGGGGCGGGCGACACACACACACACCCACACACACACACACACACACACACACACACACACACACACACACACACACACACACACACACACACACACACACACACACACACACACACGCACACACACACACACACAGTCTTGTACAGCTGACCTTCTGGAGACACACAATTCAGTCCCATTCAAAATCCTATTTTCCCTAACCCCTAACCCTAACCGTAACCCTAACCCAAAAACCTAACCAGAAGTCCCCACAAGAATAGTTAAACACGTCCACACACACACACACACACACACACACACACACACACACACACACACACACACACACACACACACACACACACACACACACACACACACACACACACACACACACGCCTCACACTGTAAGAGACTTCAGACGGGACACTAGGGCGGAAAGAGACACTAGCTCGCTCTCACACAGTCTGCATACACACACACACACACACATGGGCTGTTCACCACGGCACTACAGCGGCCGCTCCACTGGAGCTCTCTACGGGTCAATTAATGGGAAAATGAGGCACTCTCAGTCTGTCACCATAAAAGAGGGATACTGCTCATATACCGTTAAACTACCTGCCTGTGTGTGTGTGTGCTGTTTCTTGTCCCTCTTGCTCAATGGAATGTGTGTGTGTGTGTCAAGGTTATTATAGTTTAAAATGTTTATTCGTTTTTCGATTTTTGTTTGGAATTCAGTTTAGTTTCAGTTCGTTTTTCACCAGAGTTGCTAGTTTTTATTCAGTTTAATATCTATATTTCGTTTTTATATTATTTAGTTTTAGTTTTAGTGTTAGGGACAGAAAGTTGTATCGTTTTAGTGTGTGTTTTTTGGGATGTCACTGCTTTTCTGGCAGTAATACATAAGGTGGTGGGTCAGGTCATAGGTTAGGTTAGGTCTAATCTCAATGTGACTTGGATTTAAAAAGAGTAGTGCTGAGACTGGTGCAAAAACGTTGGTGAAAGGAAACTCTCTCTCGCCCATAGGCTACAGTCATAGAGCCTTGCTCTGTGTGTGGCAAAAGTTAGGAGATATCTAATCAATCGAAGATTAATATTCTGAATGGAATTGTTGTTATTTGTCACTGTAGAATGAGAAAGCACATGCACTGCAGCCTCAGTTAGCCTAGATAGCTAACGTTAGCTAGCTTAACTAGCTTCTCCCAGTTTGATGTAGTTAAGACAGGTACTACGTAATCATATTTGATGATACATAACCTAGCTATGGCAGCTATTAGTCTACTATAGCGTGAGTCGGCTTGGTTGGTTACTGTCTCTCATCTCTCCCTCCCTCCTCCCTGCTCCCCGTGTCACTCGATCACAGTTCGGCCCCTCCCCCGCCTGCACTTTATCAGCGCTTTATCAGCTCCGGTTAATAAAGTAGCTTAAAAAAAATAATTTTCTGCTGCTTCCCTCACTCGGATCGAACTGTGTCTGGATTCGACCAGGTATATACGGAATGGGTTGAGTTGTCCTCAGGTCCGTTCGGAACAGGTCTCTATATTTAAAACAATTATTTATGCATATTAGGTCTGGGTGTGAAAGCCCCAGGTCCATTTCGAAACAGGTCCAACTTTTTGGACCCGTGAAGACCTCTACCATGCAATGCATGTTTCCAGCAGGATGCACAGCCAACTGGTTTGCATGCCCTGGCGAAGGACCCTATTATGCGGACTAGGTCGTTGGAGTTCGTTGGTCCCCAGTGGTGGTAAGTATACTGGTAGCTAGACCATAGACTGCTGGTTATGTATCTGGTTATGTATATTTTGATAATCATTATGACTATCATCGCTAGCATAGCTGACGTTAGCTAGCTAGCTACCCTAACTAGCGAGCAACATTAACCTACCTCAATACATCTCAGTTTTGGCTTGGAATCATGATTACATGATTGTGATGTTGCCAGATTGACTTTAGATGTAGTATAACTGTCTACTATGCTAGCCAGCTTGGGAGAAGCGATGGATTGGGTTCTCCAGGTCGTCCAACGCCTGGAGAGGAGAGGACCCGACCCTTCAGAACCAGCTGAGCGACCGGATCCTGCCACCCACACCCCAGCACCAAGAGGGTTTAATCTATCCCGACCGAGGGATTATGACAGGACAGTTGCCCGCTGCCAGGGATTCCTCCTGCAGCTGGACTTCTACTTCTCAACCATCAGCCCGGCTCCATCGGAGCGGGAGAAGGTGTCCGCCCTCATCTCCTGCCTCTCAAGGAAAGCCCTGGAGTGGGCCAACGCGGTCTGGAGTGAAGGAGGAGCCGCGTTGGACAACTACGGGGAGTTCACTCGCCTCTTCCGGGCAGTCTTCGACCACCCGCCCGAAGGAAGAGAGGCGGGCGAGCGACTGGTCCAACTGAGGCAGGGGACGAGGACCGCGCAGGACTTTGCCCTGGAGTTTCGTACTCTAGCGGCTGGGTCCGGGTGGAACAAGCGGGCCCTCATCGACAGATTCCGGTGCTGCCTGCGAGAGGACGTCCGAAGGGAGCTAGCCTGCCGGGATGCCATGTTGACTTTCGACCAGCTGGTGGACATGGCCATCCGGTTGGACAACCTGCTAGCTGCAAGAGGACGTCCTGGAAATAGCCTGCCCGTTTCATCCCCCTTCAACCCGGATTCAGTTCCAATGGAGCTGGGTGGTGCAGAACGGAGAACGACAGC